AGCGGGATCACACCAATAACGGCAGATCGCGACCAATCATGACAATAGTGGACCGCTATTCCACTATTATTCTGTTATTTTTTTTAAAAAATAATTTTTTTATTAAAAAAATTAGCTAATTCGAAAAAAAAAATCACGATCGCAATATCCACAATGAATGCAATAGTATCCGTTATATCTGCAACCGTGATAAACGCGATGTGACCGAAAACGTAACCGCGAACACTATTTAAAACCCTGCTCTAGAGGAAAGAATGTGAATGCTCCAAGTGAGTTTAAAACTCATGACATAAAAGAATATGAGATAACGAAGATGAGCAGCTTAGCTAACCGACCAAGTATGCATGGTGGCCCAATCTAATAAAAAATAAATTCTAACAATAATATAAAACCTTATATTAATATTTAGGGTAAACTGCATGTTTAGTACATAAACTATAAGATTTGGTATGTTTAGTACCTAAACTTTTATTTTTTTTCAAAACCATACATAATGTTTAGTCTTTGTTTATTTTAGTACCTTTAAAAACTTAATGTTAAGTTTTGAAAAAAAAAGAAATGAAAGTTTAAATACTAAAACGAACTAAAATAATTTAGGTACTAAATGCGTTAAATTTTTAACGACGGTGTATTAAAATGAAATAAAAACTATATGTCCCAAACCATAACCCTTATTTTAATTTGGTCCTTAAACTTTTAAACATTTCAATTTCATCCATAAACTATGACTCTCATTCTAAATTAGTCCTTAAACTTTAGAAGATTCTAATATTATCCATAAACTATGATCCTTTTTTAAAGTGGTCCCCAAACTTTTATGCATTCCAATTTTATCCCTAAATTCATCCAAATATGCAATTAGTTTCCACCATAAATTAACCTAAATTTTTTCCCAACTATATAATAATATAACTTAGTCTTATGATTTTATTAACAAGGGATATAATTAGTATTTAATCTAACTTAAATTTTATTTTATTTTTCAAATATATAATACTCCATATAACTTGGTCTAACAATTTTATTAACATGAGATGTGATTAGTATATAAGTATACTTTGGGATGAAGTTGGAATGCTAAAAAAGTTAGGGGCCAATTTAGAGTGAAATCATAGTTTGGAGATGAAATTGAAATGTTTAAAAGTTTAAGGACTAATTTAGAATGATAGCCATAGTTTAAGGATAAAATTGAAATATTTTTAAAAATTTAGAGACCAATTTAAAATAAAGGTCATACTTTGAGTTTGAGTTCATGTGATGCAATTAAGTATATATTAGTATTCAATAATTTCATAAACTAAAAAGAAATAGGGTAAAATATACAAATGGTCACTTAACTATTAAAAGTTACGAAATGGTCCTTTAACTATAGAATATTGTTTTTGAGTCAATCGACTATTAAAGTTACAAAATGATCCCTGACTATTCATTATGTTCTAAACTCATCCTTTTCTAACAAGTTGACGTTTTTTTAAGCTAGACGTTAACATGATAACTAAGATAAGATAGTCGTTTGAGATTCTGATATCAAATTTTATCATATCACAGTCAACAGATTAACGTTCAACTCAGAATATCACCCATTCTTTTAACAAAAAAAATGAGTTTGGAACGTAATGAATAGTCGAGTGACTATTTTGTAACTTTTAATAGTCGAGGACTCAACAAATCAACACTATATAGTCAATAGTCATTTTGTAACTTTTAGTAGTTGATGGACTCAACAAATTAATACTCTAAAATCAAAGGGTCATTTTGTAACTTTTAATAGATGATAAACTTAATAAAATAATATGCTATAATCAAATACTATTTGTGTAGTTTATCAAAGATAGAATAGAAAAGAAAGAAATTTCATCCACCAACTCCAGCCATGCATAAACCTACTCACCATTCCACTATCTCTCTTCCAGCACACACCCCTAGTTGATTCTAGAGAATTTTTCTTTTTTCCATTAAACAGTGATTCGCTCCCATTTTTCCTTTATATAATCAAATCCCATATACCAAAACCAGTAATCAAAACCCCGTATAGCCAAAACTCCGAATGATTTAAGTAAGTTTTGAGTTTAAGGTCGCGAATATACAAAAGGTCTATATCGAAAGACTTATTCAAATTAAATGTAGAATAAAGTCGGTTCGAATTAATCAATACAAAGTATCGAGAGATCCACAGCCATGGCCAGAAACTATAGACTCACAGATTCACTACTTGACTATCTCTCCCCTCCACCTCTCCATTTATCTCTCTTCATCCTCGTCCTCTTCTTCGTACTGGGCTTGTCATGGTTCATAAACTACGAGTCCAGGCTCGAAGATCTTGCGATCCAGTTCAAGTTATTCCTCATGTTGACGCCGGTGCTGCTGCTGCTGCTGCTCCATTGTTTTTCTTCAGAGAGGGTTGCTTTTTACGACCTGTCGGCGTACGTTCCCGAAACCGATTGGTCGCCGTTTTGGGTTGCGCTTGTGCTGGTGTTGCTGATTTACATGGTGTCCTACCAGTCTTATTTTCACGACCGTTGGTTTCCTTTTGGTGTTAAATGATGTGTGATCGTATGGATTAGCAGACGTCTACGTATGTATGTGTGTAGATTTGTACGTAGCTAGTAAGATAAAGGAATAATTGTTATTTTTAAAAGTTTTGAGTTCGAGCATCAAGGACTGTAATAAGAGTGATTGAACGTTAATCGTCAAATGATTAAAGAATATTTAAAATAGATACTATTTTATAATCACGTTACTTTAATAAAAAAAAAGCTTATAAGATGTTATTAGCAGTAGATCGATAGGTTTGTACGCATATGTATGAATGTATACTTGTTCGTATTTGTTCTAAATTTTGGAGTAGGTATAATTTCGTATGGTGATATATTTGATAATATTAATTTTATTTCGCAAGTGACGGATTTAAAAATATTTTTAAAAATTGTTAAATTCTATGATTAATATTTGTACTATGTAGAAGTTGTGATTTTAGGTCTTATACTTTAATTCGGTCATTTTTTTTACCAGTTCTTATACTCTTCAAATTTTAAAATTTTACTTTTCATAAATAACAGTTGTAAAATCTATTAAATTAAATTTTGTGAGTCCCTATGTTGTACATTAGTTGTAGATTTAATCTTTGGTCTTCAATTTGATAATTTTTAAAATTATGCAATCTAGTTGTATTCTCTTTGTTATTTGGTTTAGGATTTAAATATAAGATTTTAAAATTTTCAGACTAAAACTGATCAAGTTAGAGTTCAGACACGAAATTCAAAATTTATATATAGTAAAAGCAATAACCATAAATTTTGACCAAATATCAAACATTCATATAGCTAGGGACGGGCACAGGATTCAAATCCGATGGATTTTGACATGACCCTAATTGAGTCTATTTTTTAAAAATTCGGGATCGTTTCGGGTTGGGTTAGATATTTTAGAGATTGTGCTCGAATCAGGTTGAGTTCGGCTTTAGGATGAAAAATATTTGATTTGACTTGACCTAAAAATTGTAATTTTACCTTATATATTTATGAATAACTGTAATAAAACTCCTCTATATATTGTTTTTTTCAATTGAATCTATATTTTTTTATTAAATAAAAGTAATATTTTTATAAGTATATTATTTCGAATCGAGTAGGATTGGGTTCCGATTTTATCTTAAAAAAGCGGGTAGAGTTTAGTTTAGGTTAATGGTGTATAATTTTCGGGTCGAATTCAGATAAAACGAAGAATATATAATTTTCAAATTAGATCAATTTGACCGACACTAGATCAATCCAATCCATGTCTATCCCTACGTGTAGCTCCTATGGTCAAAGATATAGGATTCATATAATGTTAGGTTAATATGTTGTAATTACAACAAGAAGTAGATCCAATTTTGTTTAAATGTTAATGACACGTGGCAAATTGATAGAAACATTGTATAATTTTCATGTCAATTCACATAGCCAACAATACAATGTATATAGTGGGAAGAATTATTTGAGACTTATCATTTCACACGGTTACGTTTATGTAAAATTTATGTGATTATGTTTATTTAATAGTTCCACTAAATTTTTTCTTTTAATTTTTAAAATTATCTTATTAGAAAAATCAATAAAAAACAATATTTCTCAATTTTTCCTTTTACACTTACATGTCTAATTCGTTTACGTATATTAAAATAAATCTACCTAGGGTACTTATCAAGCAAGTCGATCAAAAATTAGGTTGTGTTCGACTCGTACTTATTAACTCTAAAGTAACAATCCATAAATATTAAAATAATAAATAGGTTTGATTTTGGTATAGTAAAATATTAATTAATAATTTAGTATTTTTGTTGTTTATGAAAAAATTAATAGATTAATAATTTATCATCTATTCTATTATCTATTAGTAAATTAGTAATTTTTAAGATAATTACTAAAAATTATATAAAAAAATTAGCGAGCTGCTCGTGAAATTTCAAGTCGAGTTGGACTTTGCTCGATTCAACTCTTTAAGGTCTCGAGTCGAACTCAAGTTCGAGCGAAATCAACCCAAGTCGAGTTTTTATCGAATTTTGATCAAATCGAGTTCGAACTTCTCACCAGATTCTTAGCTCATTAAGCACCCTCTAAATATGTCAAATCTATCAATAACCTTTTCGAGATAATTTTATCATTTTCCTTGCTTAAATATATATCTTAAAACTATGTGCATATTCATATAAAACAAATTCTGGGACAGAGAAAATAATAAATTTATAAATTAATCAGATATTTATAATTAAATTAAAAAAAATTCTTCGTAAATTTAACAATATCAACCAATAGTATTATCATTTTGCACATATTAATAGTATTATGTGCAATTTATATAGAGGATTTGAATTACAAATGTCAGCATAATAAAGGGACTAAAACCAAAATAAACCAAATTCAAATCATTTAAAACGACATCGTTGAGGTGATTGAAATTCAAAAGTCTCTGTTATTTTATACACCACTGTGAATCGGACACTCGAAAGAAGGATAGAAATGAAAGGGGCAGAGATGCAGATGAACGGTAGCAACAAAATCCAAAGCCAAACGCCGCCGAAACCGCCGTTCAGGCCTGCAAAAGACGACACCAAGCCTCATCTCCAAGACCCAGTGAGTGTCTTCAGATCAATTCTTTTGTTATACAATCGAATTTCAGCACTTCGTTGTTTTCTTTTTTCTTATTCTTTTTTTTTCTTGAGAGGTTGAAAATGTTTGGGGTTTTGTTGTTTACAGATACTGAGATCGGATCCGAACGTAACGGAGGAAGCGGTGCTGCGGTTGCCTCCTTTTCCTCCGCCGCTCCGTTGAGGTTTTCGAAATTTTCATTTCCCTGTTCTGCTGTAAGACGGTATGTGAATTGAAATGCGTTTGTTTTTCTTTGAAGATCTCTCCCTTTTGTTTTCTTTTGCTTTGAATCAATGATTGTTGAAAAGGGTAAAAAACTATAATTGCTGATGATTGTGGTTAGATTCTTCGAGCTATTCTCGAGTTTAGGAAATTTTCATTCCATTCAAAATTTGAGCCAAATTTTAGGATAAAAATCCGTATTCAACTTGGTACAAATATATATGATTTTTTTAATTTGATAGTATAGAGATCTAATTGAGAAAAATATTTTAACAATTATCTTTAAATATACATATAAATTATATCATTATTCCTGATGCAATCAAAGATTTTCACCCTAGGTCTTTTACAGAATTTGATTCAAACCCAGTTAAAAGTTAGGAGAAGCTATTCATTTAGTACTTAAATTATCAATTTTAGTTTATTTTAACATTTAGATTTTCATTTCATTTTAGTATCCACTATTAAAATTTAACGTGTTTAGTACTTAAACTATTAGTTTTGATCCATTTTAATATCTAAACTTTTGATCTTTTCAAAATTTAACGTTAAATTTAGGTACTAAAATGAAATAAAAATTAAACCTTAGATATAGTTTTGAAAAAAATTAAAAGTTTAGGTACTAAAACAGATTAAAATTAATAGTTTAGGTACTAAATGAGTATAAAACTTAACTGAAGTTTACTCAAATTTATATTAAAATTGACAACTTGTTTGCACGTTGTCCGGAGTTCATTTCCTATGAAACCCTTCTCGCCTATAAAGTAAGCTTTGGTTGTACCAAGATATTATATATATGTTACAAATAATCACATGTAACAGCGACTAGTAAAGAGTGTTAACACTTGCATTCCAATATGCAGAAACTAAATTAGAGGGACTAAATTGCAATCACGAGGGAATGTCAAAAGAAAACTCATAAGAGACAATAGGTACATACACATAGGTTTCATGATACAGTCCTTCCATAGCATAAACAAGCAAGATAGAGATTTTTTTGCTCATTTTTCCTTCACAGAATAACAAAATTCATGTGAGAACAAATACATGCATACATATGTACATACACATAGGGACAGAGTCGAGATAAAACTTTTGGGCCAAATATAAATGGTAATAAATTGTTTGGGGGGGGGATGTTTAATTATTAAGTCATCAATATAAAATTTAAAATTGGATGGTCAAATACTCATATGATCTATTTTGTCTAATGACAAGGACCTAATTAGTATTTAAACCAAAAAGAAATAAGAACCAGAATAAATATCCCTCATTTCAAAATAAATATGAACCTAAGTATTCAAACCGAAATAGTGTGGATCAAGACTTGATTTTTCTAGTTCCAAAACTACGATAGACCTTAAAAGTAAGGGTAAATTGTATGTTTAGTATTTGAATTATCAGTTTTGATCCGTTTTAATATCTAAACTTTCAGTTTTTTCAAAATCATACTTGATGTTTATTTTTTTGTTTCATTTTAGTACTCTACCATTAAAAACTTTAGTTTTTGTTTAATTTTAGTACCTTGTTCAAAATTTAACATTAAGTTTAGGTAGGTTTTGAAAAATTGAAATTTGAGGTATTAAAGCGGACTAAAACTGATAGTTTAGGTACTAAACGCGTTAAGGGCATACATATGTACATACACAAGTTTTTAACGGTGGAGTACTAAAATGAAATGAAAACTAAACATTAGATATGGTTTTAAAAAAATTGAAAGTTTAGGTACTAAAACGGATCAAAACTGATAGTTTAGTACTAAATGTGTAGTTTACCCTAAAAGTAATTATACGCAAAAAATTTGGGAGAGACGAAACATAATTTTCTTAATTTCAAAAGTATGGACCTAAATAAAAATTTGATCCGAAAATTTTGGGGGATCACAGCCCCTCATAAGGTGGCTTCGTCCCTGCATTCACATATAACAAGTCCACATGAAGCATACGTTGCAGGAAGCAAAAGAAAGTATTACCATAACATGTGTGCTGGGAAACTGAGATGTGCGTAAAGTTTCTTGAGTTTCGTTGCCGGGTATCCGCTTCGGGATGCTCCAGGTTAAGACAGCTTGATCCGAAGTTGCGGCTGTCGATGTGATTCTAAAACCACTATCCCAACGTCTGTGGATTCCTTCACTTGGAAAGTGGACATCAAGTTCCACAACCTACAAAACCGGTCGACGTCAGTTAATAAGATAGCAGGTGCGGATAAGAAAGGACGGAATGAACTCGAACTAGTGCATCTGAGATTAAAACTGATCACTGAAGCCTGCATTGCGAGACATAACGACACCCCATCGGCTCCCGGCGGTTGGCATCGAGGTGACAGAAAAAACCCCTCTTTCCACTTTATGTTTATCCACTTAAAAGGGAAAGATTCACTCACTTTATAAGATTGTTGAGTGTATAGGGTACCTAAAGAGATTATCATGATTGAGAAATCTTGAGCCATTACGGTACGTTTGGTTCACGGAATGTAAAATTATCAGTGGAATATAGGATTACAATATAAGATTACCAGAGAATAGGATTATTGGAATGTTGTATTTTGTGTTTGGTTGGTTTAGAAGGAATGCAAGATTATCGTGTTTAGTTAAAGGAATAAAAGATTATTGGAATATATATTTGACCAAATTGTCCTTATTATATATTTGTTTTTTAACAAGTTAGAAAATATTTATATATTTTCTTTAAAAAAATTAAATTCATAAAATTTATATATTTTTTTACAAAATTGAGAATATAAAGATGTTTAATGAAAAGATAAAATTTTATTTTAATCCCTGAACTTCATATAAAATTTTAATTATAGATTTTTTTTGTAAATCTAAAATAATTTAAGAATAAATTTATAATTTAACATTCGTATAATTTTTATTATTCAATGACAAATGAAGAATATTTTAGAAAAAAAATTTAAGGGCATTTTAGTCCAAAATGTCGGTAATCTAACAATACCTAAGGAAATGGAGGTAATGACATTCCGGGTAATATATCCTAAAATATCTACTATTGATAATAAAACATTACCGGGAATGAGATTCCTGACCAACCAAACATGGGAATGAATTCCATTCCCATGAGAATCTCACATTCCTAGAACCAAACAGTCTCTTAATGTAAATTAAGAAAGAGAGTAAAGTGCACCAAAAGGCCACTGAACTTTCAAAAGTTACAAAATGATCACGATGTTAGTAATAAATTGAAAGATAATTGTGAAAGATGAACTGAGCTTCGGACGTGACAACAAGGGAGCTTCCACTGTTGAACCAGCAATATAACTGATGTAATCATTTTTCTCCCGCTAATCAATGATCCATTCCTGTATATTTGGAAGAAAAAGCCAGTCCTCAACATAAATATTCTTCTTATAATACGAAAAGAAGGGAAAAAATAGCAATCAAAACAAATATGCAATGGGAGGTAACCTTATGAAAGAAGGAAGGCGAAAGCTCATAAACTTGGCTAATAAAACCAGTCCCGGCATCCATAATTAATGCCCAAAGATTGGAACAAGATGCCACACAGCTTATTAGCAGACCATCTGCTACTCCTTTCTCCACATGTTGAGCCAACCTTGCATCAGTGACATTGTAATGATACCTAGTTGCATGATAACAAACAGTAAAATTGCAAGGTCAAACACGGAAAGTGAAAACAGGGGCAATGAAAATGAAAACTATTCAAAAATACCTCTGCTTCATTGGAGCTTTTGCATCTCCTGATAGTCCTTTTTTTTCCTTATTCAGAAGCCCTTTGCTGCAAGCTTTGAAAGCAACTTCGATCCGGCGTAATGGCAGTTACGATGAGGTGCTTCCGGATTGACCCAGGGGTGCTAGAAATTTAAAATTCCTTTGTATTTTGTAGAATTATTTAATTTTGCATCCCCTGAGATTTTATAATCTCTCATCCCCTAAGGTTTTCATATAATCTTTTACGTTCGCACCCGTGACACGAATTCCTACCCCCGGTTCCTAACTCAAAGTCTAAGCTCGTCGTGGCATAAGAGACGAAGGTCTTCTAAAGAAGGCTGATGGACTGAGATGTGCTTACATTGGATAGAATAAACCTCCCGAGGGATGGATCGAAATCTATACCGATGATGTAGAGGCCGCAAAATCCGAGGGCGTGTTGTGGGATTCAAATGGGGATTAGATGGAAGTAAACTGAAGGAACATCGGAATTAGCACAACTTTATGTTAGTAATGAGTAAAAACACTATCTCACATTGAGTGGGAAATACCATCGGCATAGATATTTATAGTGTTCATTATTTCCTCTCTTGTTGAATGATAGAGAACAATGGACAATCTCGCGTGCTGCTGCTGATGTCCGGTTTGGCTCGTGTTCGTGCTTGTGCTTTTAAAGTGGAGCATTCATGCTTCTTGCATCTTTCCTTCCCTTGGAACTGGGAATCAAGTTCTTGAGCTAGATTTTATAATTTATGGTACCTGGTTTATGATGCATATAATTGGCATATGTTCTTTTTTGTTCGGCTTCAATATGAATCGTCCATGATCAGCATTTAAATTATACTTTTTGAATTTTAAAAACTAACCCCCCTTGATTATAATTTCATCTCTATGATAGAAATTATCATTTCAATTCATTAGATGGAGATGTTATGGTGTTTTTTTAAGTGTATACTAAATTCTAATCGGGTAAACTGCACATTTAGTACTTAAATTATCAGTTTTGGTCCGTTTTAATATCTCAACTTTCAATTTTTCAAAATCATATCTGAAGCTTAGTTTTTAGTTCATTTTAGTATCTGCCGTTAAAACTCAATGTTAAGTTTTTAACGGGTACTAAAATGAACAAAAACTAAATATTATGTATGATTTTGAAAAAAATTAAAGTTTAGGTACTCAAACAGACCTAAATTGATAGTTTAGGTACTAAACACGTAGTTTACCCGTTCTAATTCCATCCTCTTGATTACCCCGAAACTATTTTTCTCGAATCCATCCACAATTTTCAAACAACAATTTACAGCACAAACGTTTTCCAAAATCCCACAGCTTCTATGGTTAAAAACTAAGACCATAGTTTACAGACAATGCAGTCAGTACAAGCCTATTAAACATTACAATGTAAGCAACATATGAGAACCAATGTCACAGAAGGACCATGTGAAGCAAACCTAAGAAGAAAAACTACATATGAATCTATTTCCGATTCGAAAACATCATAGAGTAGCTTGTTGTTGGATTTGTTAAAACTTGAAATCATTTCCTATGATCTGCTGGGATTTTGTTTTTAGCATTCATCAAGCTCTTTGTCAACCAAATCGCCGTCTCCCTTGATGAAACGACTTCTTCCCCGAACGGCCTTAAAACGCCTGCAAGCTCCTCGAGCCTTTGATGTTTAAGTAAACTTGCACAGATCTCCAGAAGTGACTCCAATGCTTCAGCTCTTTGTAGGCTCTGGGGATCTTGTTTGATCTTTCTTTCGTAATCGTGCAGCATCGTTAGTGTACTCATTATCGATCTTTCTTGCGGATTTTCCAGTGTTTTAGCTTGGTTTTCCGGTTGGAATCTCCATCTAGTCTCGATTGTTGTCTTTTCGGGAGTTTCTGGTTCATGAAATAACTCGAAATCTCCTTTGTTGCCTTTGGAATCCACCGTTGTCAATCCCTTGCAATGGCTTTCATTATCATGCTTAACTTCCTTACCTGCTCCTTCGTTCGGTTTAAACTTTTCGGAGGAAAGTTCTTGCCGTGCTTCTTTACTATGAAAGCTTGGTGTACACTCCACGATTATTCTCGAGTTACCAGGATCGTCGGTTTTGCTGTCATGGAAAGTTGTTAATTCCTTTGATGGGCTTGTCCTTTCACCTTGTGGATTCCCGTTGCCATATTTGTTAGGCGAAGGGCCTCCTTTAGGCTTCCCCTTGACGCTGTTCACTTCGGATTTCACAGGGAGGAAAACAGGAGATAGATTCTGGCAGTGAGCAAGATATGGCTGTAAATGCGGATGCCTCAAAAGCTCTGCAGCCTGAAAGAACAGGAAAATGCACTAAATTTCATAGCATGTCATGAGAAAAAACAATATCGGATAGTCGAATTTACGGTCGGTCGGTGTTCCGGGTTCTTTCGTAGCATTGTTCTGATCAATTGCTTCCTGCAGACGGGGAGATTCCACCGTATTAGTTAATAGCTTGAAGTTGGGAATTAAGCGAAATACACAGAAACCGATGAGCTATACTTACAGTGCAGGTGAGTACACTGTTGGAAGTGGAGAAATGGTAGATCTATTGATTTTATTGACTAATCCTGCCATATCCTGTTTGAAACATTTGTCGGCAACCGAAACTTTAGTTTGATGTTCTTGTCTGAAGACCAATGAAAAAGACTACAGATTAAACCAATGCTTACTGGTGCTCTGAATGCAGGTTGGTGGGCTGCTATTTCGAACATGCAGCAACCTGTAACAATATTTCAATTCCAAGGATGTCAACCACTAGGTTCATTGTCCTAAAAATACATACCCATACGCATACACATGCATGGGCATACGCATACACATATATATGTTACTCCGACTCTTCATTTTTCTAGAAGCTCGTAAATACGTATATGGGGTTATAACAATCCAAAGACCACCCACATATAAGGGAAAAATTACAAAATCAAACATACTCGAGCCTGGACACAACCCGTATACCACACTCACACCCGAGTCAGATACAGTCAGTGTGTGTGTGTATATAGATTACCTAGGGACCAAATGTCTGATTTGTAGCCATAAGGGATATCTGCAAGAAGCTCAGGACACATGTAGTTTGGAGTGCCCACAACCTGTGAGAACAGAAGCAAAATTACACCTACATCAGCCATGATCTAACCCTCAAACTTTGATACCTTAAACTAATCGAATTTAGCAAAGAAAGCAAGGAAAAATTCAGTGTCAACAAATCAACAGTCTTTTTAGTTTCGGATTCTTGAAGGAAAAAACAACAGACAAATCAGGTAAGAGGAAAGAAATGCAGGGCCATTACAGTTGAAGTGAGATCTTCTTGGTTTAGAAATTTTGCTAGTCCAAAGTCACCTATAATGTATAAAAATGAAGAAGTTCAGTTTTGCATGGTAATGGAAGTTAAACACAGAGAAAAACAAGTCTTGGTTTCTGACCTAACCGAATGTCGTTGTGTTCTGTAAGGAAAATGTTGGAGCACTGAAAATTTGAAGACAAAGATATGTCAAACAGAACAGGACTGTCTTAACAGAAAGTAAACTTATATATATACATATATACTTTGAGGTCCCTGTGAAGGACACGGTTGGAGTGAAGGTAGTCCACTGCTAGTAACAGTTGTGTCAGCCATTTGCAAAGCTTCTGAAGAAGAAAAAACAAAGGGATATTGTGAGAGTGGAGAGCACCAAGTAGTAGTAAGAACTAAGAAGGGATATGGTGAGAATCCCTCGCATACCTTTTCTGGAAAGTATGTTCCTCTACTTTTCTTTATAACCTCAGCCCTGCAATAACAAAATTATATATATTACCATACCTAAATATACTGTACAAATGTATGTTTGTATGTATGCATGCATGTATACGAACTTACATGTCTCCTCCCTCACAATAACTTGTCACAATACAGACATAAGATTCCTGCAAAGAAAAGAAAAGAAAAGAATTTTGATCGTTTGATTTAGGATTCAAACCATCCAGAAAAAAATAAGTAAAAGTGAGTAAACAACCTTTTCCACCCATCCATCCTTGTGCTCAACGATATATTGATTGTTAAGCTTCGCAATCAAATTCATCTACAAAAGAAATAATAACAATAGAGCTTGGTCAGTTTATGTGGTCACTCTTAAGATATGATATCTAATAATTTGCGTTCGAATCTCAACATTTATAGCTCATTTCCGGTTCTCGAGCTATCAACTCTGTTCTAAATGGAACATAAGGTTTACCTGACTAAACTGGTTCCGATAGTCACTCTTAGAAGATAGAATCCAACGAATCTTAGATCGGATCCCAACATTTGTAATCCTATTTTCTATCGCCTTGTGTTCCGACTTTTATTTTATTTTTCAGACTAGTAGTTGAAAATAAACCACTAAGCATGAGAAAATGCAAGAGAAATCAATGTACAAAAACATGTTTGCTGAAAAAATTCTTAAAAAAAGAGAGTAAACCTCTTGATGCGCTGTACGCTTGAACTTCTCAGTTTGTTTAGCCAAACGGATCTTCTTCAATACATACCTACAAATACATTTATACACACACATACAGCAGCAAAGATACATCAAAACAACAATAACCACACAATGAAACTGCAATATTTTTCAAACATATCCAAGATTTCTCGAATACATAAATGTTTAATTATGCTAGGAGGGTTATATCTTCGTACCCATATCCGGATTTGAGTCAGCCAATGATGTTAAATACTTATAAAACATCATTGTTGCTTGAATATAGGTATGCTTAACACCTTCATACTCGTGTTCGGATATGTGTCGAGCACCGATGTTAAATATTGATATCTGGATAAGGGCATGCTTAATATCTTCATACTCATATCCGGATTAGTGTCCGATGTTAAATACGGACAATTAAAAAAAAGGCAAACAACAGTGGATTTTGAGTTATATTTCTTACTTTTTTCTCTCGGCTTTATGACGAACAAGAAATGCAGCCCCAAAAGCTCCTCTCCCAATCTGTTCAATCACTTCATAGTCATCCATTTTCGACATAGTTTCTCTTTCTTTGTTCTCCATGAAAACACCATTCAAAGCCTGCACTGGAGCAAAGCTGAAAGAATCTGATGATTTTTCAATATGTTCACTGCTTTATCTCTTTCATTTAATACTGTTTGGTAGCTATTCAAGGCCTGGGGTATTACCCTATAGGCTAATACATGTATATATATATGTATACATCTATCTATATATATATTTACATTCAGTAAAAAGCATTAAATGGGAATTTAAAGATGACACCAGAAACGGAACCTTTTTTTGCAGGAGACAATGTCACACCAAATTTCTGTTGAGTTGAGCCAGTGATCACAAGCAGAGGCAGGAATCATTCAAGAAACATGAAGCATTAAATACCATATTTATGAAAGATCCCGACGACGAGGACCCGTGTTATAAAGATTTGGAAATGTTCGTATATGCACGTATGGTGTTGGACGAAATGTACAAGCGGGGGATGAGGAGATTTAAACAAAAGAACAAAGATTGAAAGTTTAAAATGCAGAGTGGGAAAGATTCGAGGCAGTAAAAGGGAAAGGAAAGAGATGAGATGAAAAAGGGAAATAAAGGAGGGGAGGCCCCCCATTAGGCTGCAACAATGGCTTAGCTTTGCTTAAAAGTTCAGTTTCCATGGCTATCATGACACTTCCATGTGGTTGGTGTGTTCATGTCACTGTCTTCTTAACTGAAAAAAAATTTACCCTGTTTTCTTTATATATATATTATATTCAATTACGTGGTTTGAACGTTATTTTCACTTATTTTTTAAGGGTTTATTGATATTGTCAAGACCGATCAAAATAACATTTATTTTTATATTGTTGATCTTTTTACTTTAGAATATCGGATTGGATTTGGATACTTGTTATCATTTCGTGAATAGTTTTTTACGTCGTTCGAGTCTGATTTACGGTTTGTTAGTTGTCTTTTTATAGTTTGATTCTATTTTGTGGTTCGTTTGCCGATTTGATCAAATCTATTTGTATTTATTTTTATTCGAGTTTCTTAGTTGTTTTTAATATTTCCTTGTATAACCCTTATGCGATCTTGAGTTGTTAGTTTTGTTTCAAATATTATAGCAAATTGATTTAATTATATGCTTAGTTTAGGATTTTTTATTGTAAATTTGTATTATAATTGAGATATTTTCTATTTTGAATAAAATTAATAATTTTAATAGAAAATTATGCAATATATAATTTTTTAATTTATACATATTTAAGTATAGTTTGGTGAATATAAATACATTATTAAGATTTTTGAATATAAATAGATGATTAAAATATTTTTTCTTGTGAATATATTCTTATTTATTATTTTAAATAAATTGTCCATTTATATTTATTAAATTTGTGTAAAAAATATAAATTAACTGACCCTATTCCCATATGTAATGGGGTAAGGGGAGGTAGGGTAGTAGGCTGCCCCCAACGTTAGGTTGAGAACAACTTCCGTGGAAGACCCCTACAACAATTATGAATTGCCCTCCGTGGGACTCGATCCCACGACCACAAGGTTAAGAGCTTTGCGCTCTACCAATTGAGCTGGACGGACAATTCTATGTAAAATATAAAATTTTATAAAATCAAAAACGTTTGCGTGGGAAACAAAAATAAAGAATGTTGCTTAGAAAAAGAATGGCGGGATTTAGTCCATGGTTGGTATGTCCTCATAATTGATAATTTAATTTTATGTATAAAACTTTGTAATTGTATGTATTTAAAATTTGGATAAATTATATGTTTAGTATTTAAACTATCAGTTTTGATCTATTTTTATACCTAAACTTTTAATTTTTATTTAAAAATCATACTTAATGTTTAGTTTTTGTTTCATTTTAGTACATGTCGTTAAAAACTTAACAGACGAGCTCATCGGCTGCCGCATCTACAATTGTCGATCGTCGCATCTGTCGGGCGATGAAGCCTAAACTTTCCAACCCACGTCCTATTTCGACCCCCTGAACGTGATTCCAACATCCATTTTCATCAGAAACTGCCTCAATCTCCCCAAATCGATGATGGACTCTTTGACTTTTTCATCGTTCGATCTATGTTGTCAACTATCTGATGGATCTGAAACTGGACTATGTTGGTTGACTCGTCATTCCCTCGTGGTCCACCATTCATATTAGTCTTCCATCCACCGAAGCTATGTATTGTAAATGCCGTTAATATTTTAAAAATAATTAGGTAAATTCAAAAATAAATAAATGCTGCATTGATTTCAAAAGCTAACCTAACCAATGCTTGAAAATTGAAATAGGTAGATGGAAAATGATGAGTTACATTGAAAATGAAATACCTATTTTTAATTTTATATTTAGATTATTTAATTTAAATTTTATCTTATCCGTAATTTAAATAAGTGATTTAACTAAAAATATATATGCTTATAGTTTAATACTTCATTGTTTTAGTGATTAAATAGTGGTTTTTTTAATTATTTTTTAATATTCCACTTTCATCCCTAAACTATAACTCTCATTCCAAATTAATCCTTAATTTTTTTAATATTCCACTTTCATCCCTACACGATGATATTATTTTAAAAATAAAGGACTACTTATATGGGCTTAAACCCATATCATAAAGGACTGTGAAGTGTTAATAAGGCCAAGAGCCTATTATATATTATTGGCCCTTCCTTATTTAGTATAGTTTGATGAATACAACTATATGATTAAGATTTTTGAATATAAATAGATTAAGATTTTTTATTCTTGTGAATATCTTATTATTTATTACTGTTAAATCAATAGTTCATTTACCAACAACCAGTTGATCTAGTGGAATGAGACACTAGGTCCCTTAAGCAAGGTCAGGGGTTCGAATCCTGGCGTTTGTGAATGATGCAAACTGGATTGGGAGGGTCTCTCGCCTTTGCAGTATCTGAACTGGATTAGTCGGTCAATAGATTGAATATCAGTGATTAATTCAAAAAAAATCAATAGTTCATTTACATCTATTCAATTATATTAATTTGTTATAAAAATGATAAAATTTTACAGTATATAAAAGAAAGAATGTTGCTTAGAAAAAGAATGGCGGGATTTAGTCCATGGTTGGTATGTCCTCATAAATAGGGGTGTTCAAATAACCGAACTAATTCGGTTAACCGATCGAACCGAATTAGTTTGGTTAATTCGGTTCGGTTACCGAATTAGTTCGGTCGATTAACGGTTAAAAAATTTTTTAGAATTCGGTTAACGGTTAATTCGGTTCGAATTCGGTTAATTAACCGAATTAACCGAAATTAAATTTTAAATATATTATATATAACATATGGGCTTAGCCCAAACCATTTAAAACCCAATTAATAATTTAAGATCCAATAAATTTTAAACCTAAATCAATATTAATTAATTAAAAAAATTATATAAATTTTTTATTTTATAATTATATATTATTTAAATTAATTGTAAACTATTTTTTAATTAAAAAATATTAAATATATTATATATAACATTTGGGCTAAGCCCAAACAATTTAAAACTCAATTAATAATTTAAGATCCAATAACTTTTAAATCTAAATCAATATTAATTAATTAAAAAATTTATCTGAAATTTTTATTTTATAATTATATATTATTTAAATTAATTATACACTTTTTTTGAATTAAAAATATTTAATTTTTATATAAATTAGAAAATTTTAAAAAAATTTCGGTTAATTCGAAAATTAACCGAAATTAATTCGGTTTGGTTAATATGTTTGAAAAAAAGTTCGGTTCGGTTAACGGTTAAAGAAAAAAAAAGTTCGGTTAATTCGGTTAAGGGTAGTTCGGTTCGATCGGCCACCGTTTTAACCGAATGAATACCCCTACTCATAATTGATAATTTAATTTCATGTCTACAACTTTGTAATTGTATATATTTAAAATTTGGATAAATAGTGTGTTTAGTATCTAAACTATCAGTTTTGATCTGTTTTGGTACCTAATCTTTTAAATTTTATTTAAAATCATACTTAATGTTTAGTTTTTATTTCATTTTAGTACATTTCGTTAAAAACTTAATGGATGAGCTCATCGGATGTCGCGTCTACAATCGTCGATCGTCGCATCTATCGGCCGATGAAGCCTAAACTATCCAGCCCACACCTTTTCGACCCCCATGAACGTGATTCCGGCTTCCATTTCACTAAAAATGTCTCGATCTCCCCAAATCGATGAGGGACTCTTCGACTTCTTCATCATCCGATCTACGTCGTCAATCTTCCTATGGGCCTGAAACTGAACTATGTTGATTGACTTGTCATTCTCTCGTGGTTTACTATTATGATTAGTCGTACATCCACCGGAGCTATGTCCCTTCATCCCATCCGTCAAGTTTTTAATGGAGGGTACTAAAATGAAACAAAAACTAAATGTTATATATGATTTTGAAGAATTTGAAAGTTTAGGTACTAAAATGGACTAAAGTTGATATTTTAAGTACTAAACATGTAATTTATCCTTAAAATTTTAATATATATTTTTTAAATTGTGGATAAATTCATTTCTAATTTGCCGGTACTATTACAATTATATATAGGGGTGATATTTTTTAACATGGGTGATCAAAATGAAATCAAAATATATCTTTAGGTATGATTTTGAAATAAAAATTGTTGGATGACCAAAATGAAACAAGAGCCATAGTTGGTACAAAACGTGTAGTTTACCCTTATTAAAATTTGTAAATACACTTAATTTTTTAAAAATAATTAGGTAAATTTAAAAATAAATAAATAAATGTTTGGATCGATTTCAAAAGCTAACCTAAATAAAATCTTTCAACCAGTACTTGAAAAATGGAATAGGTAGATGGAAAATAATGACCTACACTGAAAATGAAATACTGTTTTTTATCAACAATCAGTTGGTCTAATAGAATTACGTACTAGATCTCTTAAGTAAGGTTAGGGGTTTAAATCATGACAATTACAAATGGAATAAACTGGGTTGGGAGGGTTGTCTTTGCCTCTGCAATACCTGATCCGGATTAATCGATCAATAGATCAAATACAAATGGTTTTACCCAAAATTCTTATTTTTAATTTTATATTTAGATTACTTAATTTAAATTTTATCTTATTCATAATTTTTTTAAAAAAAATAGAACTTTAATATATTCATTGGTCAAATAAAACACCATCAACAACTTCTTGCCACATTCTTACAATACAAATACATTCATGTCAATCATAAGCAAAATATATCGGTGATCGACCACTGATAGCCTAATGAGCAAGAATGTAAACAATTGAGTCAAAGACATATAGAGATGGATCACTACAACTTCTCAAAGCATCAAACATAAAAGAAAAAAAAACCTAAAGAATATCCAAAGTGAACAAAAAAATATCCTTTAACCACAGTCTCGGCTGACAAATAGTCCGAGAATCAACAGGATGCCATATGCAAACAATGAAAGGAACTAGGCATCGAAAATGCAAGCAACCATGAAATCTCGAAGAACCATAGATCAAGAAGAATACCAATGACCAAAACACCGATAACTATGATACCCTTTACGAGAAAAAGGGCCAAGAAAAAAATTACTTTAAATATGTTAAAATATAATTAAAAAATAGTAAAATCGAACTACAATAAAGTAAAAATGGCAGGGAAGTGACCGGAGAAGACCACCGTCGCTGTCATTAATTGATGAAAAACTTCTGATAACAGCCCGGTAGCTTTGAAATTGCAAGAGAGGTTTTATTATCTTATTCGTAACTTAAATAAGTGATTTGTCTAAAAATTATATATGTTTATAGTTGAATATTTCATTGTTTTAGTGATTAAATAGTGGTTTTAATTTTTTTTGAGTTAATTGCATCATATATCCTTAAACTATAACCCTCATTTTAAATTAGTCCTTAAAATTTTGAACATCCCACTTTCATCCCAAAACTACGACTCTCATCCCAAATTAGTTCTTAAACTTTTGAATATTCTAATTTCATCCATAAATTATGACCCTCTTTCTAAATTAGTATCCAAACTTTTAAAATGAGAATCATACTTTAAGGAGATGTGATGCAATTAACTCTTATTTTTTGTATAACCACTAATTTTTAATCTATTGATTGATTAATCTAGATCAGACGCTGTAGAAGTCCACTATAGGGGTGATCCTCACCCAATTTTCTTCATTCACAATATTATATTCGAATTATTGACCTTATCCACTAGACCAATTAGTTGTATATGGTATTTATAAATTATTAGTTCTAAATGTAAATTATGTAATGCATTAGCTCTACATTAGTGAAACGATAATATTGTTTTAAAAATAAAAATAAATTTATATATTTTTATTTTTAATTATATATCATCATTTAATTTATTAATTGTATGTAAAATTACACATAATCAATATAAATTCCATATATATACTCTTGGATTATAATTGTGGACTACTTATATGGGCTAAAACCCATATCATAAAGGACCGTGAAATAGATTCCTTGTTTGTTAATAGGGCCAAGAGTCTATTATATACTATTATGCTTTCCTTATTTGGAGGTGTTCCCTAAAGCCCAAATAAATGCATAATTGGAGGTCCAAAAATAATCCAATTTTTATCCAATCAAACTATATAAATGTTACAATATTTTTTAACTCGTTCGAGCTCGATTAATTATCGATATCTAAGTTTGAACTTGTCTCGAGTTCTAATAATCCAATTGTTCGAATTTGATTAAGTTCATTCATATTCAATAATATATATAATAAGGGTAAAAATATAATTTAATAATATTAAATATATATATATATATATATAATAAGGGTAAAAATATAATTTAATAATATTAATATATTTATTAAAAATGAAAATTTTAATTATTAATAATTATTTATCATATATATGGATTTGTTGCACTCACAACGCGGATAAACTAAAATACATGTAAGAAAAGATATTTATAAAAGTTTATTTAAATGAATGATTATAAATATAGTGATAAAGGATTTATATACAGATTTGTAAATATTAATTTTTATTATTTTATTTAAATATATATTAACTTTTTTATTTATTAAATAATTTTTGTGATAAAAAAGAGTATTATATTCTCTATAGATCTAAAGTTTAAGTCGCGTCTATAGAATATGTGTATATATTATCAACCGGCTAAAATCTTCTGAACAAATATTTTCTTATAATCACTTTACACTAATAAAAATACTATTCTTTTTAACTAAATTAATATATATATATATATCACATTAAGTTGTGATATAACCCATAAACGAATAAAATAATTAAAAATTCCAAATTATTTAAATATAAGGTTGGGCCCGAGCCCAAACTTAACGGGTTTGGATCCGATTCAACCTGACCATGTTTTAGAAAAACATATTAGGTTCGGATTAGGTCGAGTGTTTTAGAAAAATATATTCGAGTCGGGTTTAGGGTGAAAAATACCAGACCTGACCTAACTCGAAAAATAGTGTAAATTTACCATATATATTTAGGGATAATTACAATAATAATCTTTTATATATTATTTTTTCAATTAGATCTTTATTTTTATTGAATAAAAATAATATCTTTTATAAATATATTTATTTGGGTCGGGTCGGGTTTGGATTTTATCTCAAAAAACCGGGTCAAGTTAAGTCACATATAAACTTGGGTTGAGTTGGATTCAAGTCGGGTGAAGTCCCCCTAAACTAAGGTTGGATCAGACTTTAGGTGGAGAGTATATATTTTCGGATCAGATCGGGTTGACCGAAAACCCGACCTGACCTAACCCAACCAATGTCCATCCCCATATAAATCATGATTATTCGTTTTGGGGGGGGTTGGATCATGATCATATTAAGTTATTCATTATTGCAAGGACTTGGAAACCCTGCAAACAACTGCATCCGGCTCATCCTTCGGATTGCCACTGCAATAAAAGACGTAAAGAGTTAGAATTACGCATTATATGAAAGAAATGTCTTGCTGGCCTTTGGTTATCTTAGTTATAAAATAAAGCCAGCGGACATACTTATAAAACATGTCTCGAGTTACAAACTTTCCTGTAGTCACAAGACAAAGAGCTCGAGTAGTTCCTAGAAAATGCATTGCTTCACTGCAAAGAAATTCACGGACACTACTCCGTAAAACTGCAAGTCCATCCGCAAATCGACTGTATGGTGTCTTCCCAGCTCCTTTAAGCTGCAATTCCCACCTTTCTAATTTCGAATTCAGAATCTCCCTCAGTGTAATAGCACGGCGCCACGGCCGTCACCCGGTTGACCAGCCCATGTGCCGAACTGATGACCTCCATAGCATTGAGCATATGACACCCTGTCATAGGGAATATCAAGGAAGAACTAACGGAGCATAACTAAGAAAGAAGCTGATAGTGATTTGCAAAATCAAAGTTGAGAAAAATACTTACGCTCCTGCCAGAGGAGAGGCCCCAGAAAATGTAAGGGGAAAATCTGTTCTTTCAAATCTGCAACTCCAATGAAGAGCTGTACAGTAAATCCCTTGGACAACATGATACAATGCTTGGGAATACATCAAAATGGCAGTCAAACAATCAAAACCAAGTCACAAAAGATAAATTTCTCTCAAGATTATGAGCACTGAATCAATCCTATAGCGAGATTTTCTCAATAGGATGATTCAGTAATCATCGTTATCGAAATTTGCTGCATACATGATTAAATTCCCTCAACTTATTCAAAACAAAAATCCGATCTATAAAGAGTTCCAATCCGACCTTTATCCATATGGGATTATGTATCCTATCAAGCTCTTCTATTAGAGGACTAGAGATGATGAGAAATATAGCATGACAAATGAAGCAATTCAGTACATGAAAAATATTTTTCCCCCCGTCGAGAATAAACAAAAAAATCCTTAGCAACAAAACATGAACTTCAGCACTTGTACAGAAAAGATACAAAAATACCAACAACGTTTAAAACTTGTATGACACCTGGAAAATAATACTGTTTACATACGATCACCGTTAGGAAAATACAATCCATGCTCACATATGCAAGATAAGTGTAGCAATGGTGTGCATCTAAGGCGCAAATGCGACGACCAACAAAGTTAATGCTTCAAGCCTGCTAAAGCTTTTCGCGCCTAAGTGCATGTTTTGTTACGGTTTAAGACAGACAGGGTATCACAAGTAAAATGCCACTCAGATTTCAGCTTCTTTAATTACATTTTATAAGTTGAAATTCCTGTGAGGGTCTAAATTCGGAATATGGACTACACATAGTACTAAATTGTGGTTGAGATTACGAATGTTGAGGATATTACAGTGTGATCTGTTTCTTAAAAATAACTATGTTTTTATATTACGGACTCCGTTGCAACGCCGTGGTGACATTGAAAAATGTTACGACGTGCTAGTTACACTTCCTTGCTGCCGCAATTTAGTACTATGACTACCTAGATCAACATCATCATTCATTCCATAGTATGTTTTGAAACCAAATATAAGCATACTTACTCATTAGGATCCAAATCAAGCAAGTCAGCCACTGAATCCGACCAGGCAACAAGCTTCGGATTCTCTATCTCAACTGATGGCAAGACTTTTGTATAACATGCATGGAAAACCTACAAAATCATCGGAAATCGTTCTAAGGAAAATTAAAAACACAATTCAAATATGCAACCATCACATTCCTCGCTATTTAATCACAGCATTAAAAAGGCGAATCATAAAACAAAAGGAAAGAATATGTAATTTCAACACATTTCAATTCAACGAAGATAAAAAAAAGAAGCGTAAAACGAAAAGAAAAGAAGAGAAAATGGTGAAAATCAAACCTCGCGTGGAATTGAATCGCTTCTAGGGTCATCTGGTAGTTCTCTAACGAAGGAATGGTCCCAATTAAGATCTTCGAGGCTCAATTTAACATTTTTCTTCTTGTTTTCATTGTCTTCACTTAAGCTTTGATTTTTCAATCCATCAGCGACGGAGTCGACGGAGAGGGAGGAGGAGGGATCCGGTGAAGACGAGTCCATGCGGAGGATGCGGCCGGGGGACACGTGGCATGCAAGGGGAGAGTAAAAAGGGCGGAGGCAAAGGGAAGTGAGAGAGGAAGACGAGACTGTAAGGAGCGGAATCTCGAGGCTTAATTCAACATTTTTGAAGTTTTATAACGTTCAATCTTTGATATTTTTTCGTTAATTTTAAGTTAAGTTTATGAAAAATAATTTTAGAAGAAAATATTAAGTGTGGAGTAATTATTATTTTTAGGACAAACTTATTATTACAACATCATCAAAATTTGTCAAAGACACAAGACGTTATGAAAAAGATACGGTTGAGTTGATAATGACAACAAAAAGAATTGATAGATTTTATATAAACACGAGAAGTTATGATAATGTCCTTATGTTGTTAATAATTTAATCATATGATCATAAAAAAACAATTTAAGAAGTGAGTTGTTTTTCTTTAAGATTTTAGACTCGAGCAGTTTTATTTATAGGATGTATGTGTATTGTAGGGCTGTAAATGAGTCAAGACAGTTCATAAGCTACTCGAGATTGAATCGGTCAAAACTCGATAAATACTCAACTCGAATGGGCTCGACTCAAGTTCTTAACCAGTTAAAATGAACTACTTGATACTCGACTAGAAAATTCACGAGCGACTCGAAAAGCTCAAGAGCAACTCAAAAATATAATATATTAAGATTTATTTTTTAAAAATAAATTATTAATAATATTAACATTTATGTGTTAATTTTTTTTTAAATTAAGTATTTTTTAATGTTTTTAAGGTACAAGTTTGGGTTTGAGGTTTTAATCGATTTAAATTTAAGATTTTTTTTTATTTTGAGCTTTTTTCGATTTTTTATGAGCTTCAAATTATGGTTTTGAGTTCGAGTCGAGCTTGAAATTTTTAGGCTCGTAAGTTTTTGAGCCGAATTGAGATCTATTTTAGAGTTTTCGAGTCGAGTCGAGCTCAAAAATACTCGAGCTCGACTTGAATCATTTACAACCCTAGTGCATTTTCAATAATTTAAAAAAAAATTATAAACATATACTAACTTATAATCATAATACACTTTTAGAAAAAAAAATCAAAGTTTAATGGTAAAATTGAAATTATTAAAGTTTAGTAAGAAAATTGATAAAAAATACTAAAGTTAGGTGACTATGAGAGTTATTTAACCAAACCTAGGTTTAATGTCCGCTCTCTCTCTTTCTCTCTCAATCCAAACCAAATATCGTCAAACAAAAGTTCACTCTCTAAACCCTAGTTTCATCCCTAATTTCTACCTCCAAATTTCTCCTAAATTCCTTGAAATCCCAGTAGTTACTCAAATTAGAAGCAGAATTTTTCCTGAAAGGAACGTGTTCGATTATCGAATCAATTTTTCGGGAGCTTATTTTATTCAATCTTTTTATTGCTTGGGATTCGAAGGACCTTTTCCAAGAAAGATACGTTTTTACAGCGTTGGAGCATCTCGGAGTTTAGCTTTCGAGAGAGATTCGTTGAATTTTATTTCTGCCGAAGCTTATTTCAAGTGAATTTTGGTTAAATTTTGAAGAATGTTGGGTGAAATAATTTTCTTTCCGTTCTCTGATTAGGAGTGCTTTAGACAGGAAAGGTAAGCCCGTAAGGTTTTGTGATTTTCTTCGATTAATTGTTGGAGCGTAATTTTGTGTGTGAATTTAGGGTTTCTCTTCGATGAACTTGACATAAAATCGATTCTTTAGTTTTTTTTTGGTTATCCCGGTTTAGCGTCGTGGCGGCGAGACTGGTTAAAAGAGTTGTGACGCTTGATTAGGGTTGAAAGTTGGTACCCCTGAGTTATCTTTATCTTCTTAGTTAAGATCATGCTTTTAGTAATTAGGGTTTTTATTTCAACGGATTTGATTTGAGTTCATGTTTTTTTTTTTTTTTTAGTGTTTGCCATCCGCTTCATGAAAAGCAAATTGCAATAGAGTTGAAGTAAATTATAGAAGGTAAAATCATCAATGTAGTAAAAATGATCTAATTGCTAAACTACAGTGCCAATCTTAACATAATTGCTATATGCTGAAGTGGAAAATCATGTATTTCTTCTTCTAAAAAAGTTAATTTGTAATGTTTCCAGCTGTTAGTTGCTTCCATGTCCTAAGGTAGCTTATACAAGGAAAAAAAAGTAGAAGTAACTTATTGATGCCTCAATAATTGGCATT